GTTTTGGTTTTGAGTTTCATTTCATTGGGGGGGGGGGTCTTTTTGGTGGTTTTTTGGTTTTGTTTTGGGGTGGGAGGGGGGTGGTGATCACAACTAGTCAGCTGCTAATGTGATTTTTTTGAAGTAACATAGACAGCCAGTACCTGTACTTGGTCTCCGTAGATCTTAGGTGCAGTCATGAGGTGAGGATGAGAAAGAAGCAAATAGTTAGGTGTGGTGATCCAAAATGCAATCCTTTCTTGAAGGGAGAGTTCATAAAGTCAGAATTACTAATACTCAAATGCAGCTCAAGATAGTACAAAAACTGTAAATAAAGGAAAACTTCATTTATTATTTATTATTATTATGTGCTGAAACACAGTGAAAACCACAGCTCTGAGATTCTGGTCACTGCCTAGTTTTGGGATGACTTAAACCTTAAGGCAACAATTTTCTAAAATATGAAGATTATAGCAATACAGCTTGAGTCTTTCTAGGTATTTTCTAGGCAAATTCCTTGTGATCTTTTTAAAGCATAAGATTAGTTTTGTAACATAAAGATTGTATTATGACTTTTCTCTAAATAGTGCAGGTACAACCTTGCTCCACTCTGGAAGGTTCCATCACTAACTTACTGTCAGAAGGACTAAGTTGCTACTGAAGAGTTATTTTCTTTGGAGAATGACATATTAGCCATTTCCAGAGAGACTTTTAAAATCTTTGTCATGTAGGTAATAGTAAATCTACTGTTGCTTAAAAGAATAGAAGTTGTCTGGTTTTATGTGGCTTAGTTTTCCATGGATATGGAAGGTGTGGGATTATTCTGAGTTTCTCCAATACTATAAAAAATATTGTAGCACCTTTTCATCCTCCCAACCCCAGCTTCCCCAAGACCCATGGCTTTATTTCACTTCACATTCACCTCACAAGTGTATTTTGTATTGGGATTGCACACCAAGGTTTGGGAATGTGGGGGACACAGGGTTGCTCTTTCTGAGAAGCTGATCTACCATCTTCCCCTGTGTCTGATGAAGCCCACACAGCCCATCTCCAAGGTGGATCCACAAAGCAGAGCAGTTTGTTTTACAGTTCTAGCATCAATTTCATTCCTTCTACTGGGAATAACCCACAGCAATACATTGTTGCTGACAGTCAGAAGCTGTATAGCTCTCATGCAGCTCAAAGCTTCCACAAAGCAGTGGCTGTGGGAAAAGGAAAATAAATAACCCCAAAAGAAACATCATAGTCAGGAGAGTCTATAGGGGGGAAAAAAAAAAAATCTAGCGTTACACATGTAGCTTCGCCACTACATACTATTCAATAATAGTTTCACTGCTGATATGTTTAATGAGAATTAAACTTTGGATACTTTTCATAGATAGTTTTGACACATTGTGTCTTACTTGCTCACATAAGATTAGGGAAACTGCAAGTCAAGTGCAAAAAGAAGAGATATTAAAATGCAAGATGTCCTTAAAAGAGATTTCAAGTGAGTGCTGCCATTTGGTAATAGGCATAAACCTTTTTTGTTTTGTTTTTGCATAAAACCATTATATTCTCTGTTGCAGTTTAAAAGGAAATTATTAAACTATTTGGTGCCATTTTCAAAGCACTTATAATACATCTGATCCCTTCAGTTTGGGTTTCTGGAGCTATGTCAGGGGCAAATGCAAGGAGAGATTTTTCAGGTAAAATCTTAATGCCTTTGGCTCCTGTTTTTATATCTTCGAATTTATTATTGATGACTGAATTACGAGTATTACCCCTATTATTACAAATAGATTTTTTTTATTGACTTCAGAAGAAAAAAAAAAATTAATGTGATTTCATCTTAACTATTTTTAGGGGCTCCAGCAGAAAAGTCTGCTACTTGAAATAAGTAAAATTTTTGATTTTTAGTCTGTTACAGATAACTTGTCTGCGAATGTGTTATCAAGCCACAGAAAGATCACACCTCAATTGTTTCAAAGTTTAGGAATCCTACTTTACAAACTCACTGTATGTGATGAGTATGTATGCAGAGTTCATACCTTCTTTTTCACCAAAAGTTTTGAATTGTATTATCTTTGAGACGAAAGGTAGGCAGGAAAATGAAGTGAGATGCTGAGATGCTGTTTGCGTGAGCAGCTCCCTAAACATCTGATAAAGAAAAGCATCTCTCCCTGTCGCTTACAAAGCTTTCCTCATTAACTCTGTAAGTCAGGCTGATGCTTCCAATAAGCATTTAGTTTTGCATTTTCTACGAGCATACATTTACTTATGGGGACACCTAAACAAAGAAAACATACATAATTATAGGGCTAGAGGTTTACAAGGTGGCTCACATTCGATGACCTGCTATATTTTCTCCCATTTTCCTTGCTAATGCTCTGATTTCCATCTCAACATCCAAGTACATGCCCATTACAGGGAGAAAGCAAGCTGTACTTTTCTTAATTAACCAGTAGTTCTATAAACCTTCAGAGGCTGGTATTATTACAGTATTTTGGAGGAATACAGATTAGTCAGTAGCCAAGACAAGAACAGAAGAGTGCAGCCCATGCAAACTGGAAGTTAATCATGGAGCAATGTTTTTTGCATTACCCGATCCTTCAAAACATTTGATGATAGGATGCCTCAGAGATGCCTGTGAACTTTGACAGGAAAGATTGTTAAGGAATTATTCTAGGAGGTAGCACTGCGTCCACATCAGACTCTCGTCATATTGTAATGAATCCAGGTTGTCTCAAGAAATCCCTGTACATAGGAATTTGATTCCCAGAAATGTGTACAAGTCAAGCATGTCGAGTTCTGGCAGTTCCAGCTATGATGAGCATTTCCCCTTGCGGAGTAAGAATCATCTGGGATGCCTGCCTCACCCATACTGGCAGTCCACTACCTAAGTAATTACTTCAGCATTGAGTCATGGCAAATGACACTCCTAAGGACAACCTGGTAACAGGAACTCAGCTGTCAGCAACACCACTGCATCACTAGTGATGCATCAAGTATTCTTCAGATGACTAATTAACATCTATCATTTTCTTCTTCAGTAATGCATTTGGTGAGGCACTGCAAGGTCCAGACAAATCCTGAAACCTCTGATCATTCATACTGTTTAAACTGCTTCTCAGCACCCTGCAGGCATTGTGGTATTTTTAATTTCCTCTTATGTTTATAGACACAAATTCATTATTATTTGTGAAAGAATGGACAGAAAGGTTTCAAAATCTCAATTAAAACTAAAAATCATTCCATGGGTATGACTACCCTGAAGATCTCAAAAATCTTTGATGACTTGTGATCTCCATTTTAAAAAATATTCTAATTTCTCTATGATTGTACTGAAGATCAGCATTTAAAGAGGTCCTACTCCTGAATTATCCTCTGTTCAATAAGTTCCTCAAAAAGAGACAAGAAAACCAAACCCCTGATACTCAGAACTCTTACAGTATGACTTAATGCAGTTCCAAATATATCCTAATCTTCAGTAAAATGCAAGCTCCTTTTCCCTTGCAAAGCTGCCATTTTGTAAGCTGACTCACAACCACCACGTTAAACCGTGTTGCAGAAATTATTTCCAGCAGTATATCCTTCAGCCACAGCTGAACCTAAGACAGAAGGCTAGCCAAAACCAAAACTGTCTGTAGATAGGCTGGACTAACACCAGCCAGCCACCACTGCAGCTGAGCTCACCCACAGCACAGTTTCATCAGCTATAGTACAGGAGTGTGACATGAAGACTTCACAGGACTTTCCCTTTGTACAAACATTTCTGCACTGTGTGGCAACACAGTCTCTGTCACTTTGCTCACTCCTGGTACTGACAGGTTGTGTCACCACTATAAGAAGAGTATTCTTCCCCTTATTTTCTCATTATACAGCTTCCACCAGTTCCATCACATGATTTCCTACCGTTCCTGGATTTCCTCTCACATTTCAACAAAGAACAAGGCCATTACAAATTTTTCCAAGTGGAAGAACATTTCCCATATGTATAGCACTTTCAAATTCACTTCAGGTTCCCCCTTTAGAGAGACCCCTTCTGAAGCTAAATCCAGATTACTTAATAAATTTCTTCTATTCACCTGCCTACCTGGTCATCTGCAGGGTAGGCATGGGATATTCCTTGTTTACTCTCCCCTTGCTGACGCCAACTGGCAGGACAACAGATGTGACACTAAGTCAGATGTCATTGCTGTCCTGTTAGGAGGACTTATCTGTCAGTAAAACCTTCAGATAACATTCAGATCCAACACTTCTGAACATACCTGACAACCTCCTTTTCTGCCACTGAACACTTCTTGGTGTTTTCCAGCTTGACAGGACAGACATCGGGTGCCTATCAGCACCCAAAGGATCAAGTTTCAGTATTTCCTTCATTCCAAGGCAGGGATGGGCAACAACCTCAGAGCTGAATTTCCTCACAGAGCATTTGAAAAATGTAGTTTGAGAACCAAGTTTTTTCATGCTCACTACTGCAAATCAGGCAAAGCATCAAAGCAGATATGGCATAGCATATTGTCATAGATTAATGCATATATATATATACTGTTAGTTAAATGTAAAGAGCAAGAAGACAGTAAAAAGAAATCAAACCATCCTAAATCCTGTAAAGACAGTTACTGCAACTTCAGTTAAGTTCTTTGTACAGCTTAATCAACACTGGAATAGAAATTGGGAAGGGAGTAACTCATCATTCTGCTGTGCAAATCTTTTCATATCAGAGAAAACTACATGACATCCAGATGAATCTCTGAATTCTGAAAATTAAAAGAAAGTGTGATGAGAAATTCTAAAGTCTGCAGGTTTCTTCTTTACAAAATATTGGTAGCAACAAGGTCACAAATCTGTAATGCACACTTATACATGGTAAATAAGCTTTAATTGTTCATGAACTGGTGATGGCATTTACACACTTGTTTCATTCTTGTGGGGAAAAAAACCCCGAATAAAAACCCTCAGGCATAAGGGTAAGACCCATTTGGAAACTCATTGACAGAATGCTGCAAGTTCTTCCTTCAGAAAACCATTATAGCTGCTTTAGCTCTCCCTATCTGTGTTTATTCTAGACTTTCAGGTAGATTTCCAGGTAGCAATAATACTTCCGACAGTCACATAATACTGAATTTCGAACAATTACACAAAAGGTTTTATTCCATAAAAACAGGAAGTTGTTATATGTATGAAATAAATAACTATGCTTACAGATAGAATTTCTGATTATTTTCAAAGAATTTCTGTTCCTAATACACAAAACTGTGTATTAATACAAATGCCCACATGCATCATCATACACAATGCCAAAATTAACATACAAGGACTTTAGATGTATAATCAGGGTTTGGAGCAGTTTAAGGGCAAGCACTGGTTTATCATATTTGATTGCATATAATCTCTTGCATAAACACAACCTTTTAGATCTCTGTTTTTTCAAAATTCATACTTTTGAATTGTTCTTCAAGCACATCAGAATCTTCATCACTGTCTGCACCACTGAAATTTGTATCAAAATCCAGCTCATCCTTCAATTTACTGCTCTCTTGACCAGTTTTAGAAGTCTCACTGTCAGTTCTGTCTTGTCCTTTATCAATCCTGTAGAAAGCAAGAGGGATATTATCACCACCCACTTCTGGAATTTAAACAAGAATGGGATGAAGTATAGAATATCCTCCCAGCATTCCATCCCAGTATAAGACGGAAGATAGCAGGAGGTGGGAAGAAGGAGGAGAGGGGCAATAAAAGTCCCTAAAGTTACTTCACACTAAATAGGAAGCATATAAAATACAGTAAAGTATGCATAAAATAGTATTTAGTACAGAAGAGACAGTAAAGAAAGAAAATTATATATTTTAACAGCTTTACCAAGTAAGCAACTGCTGGACTGTTGTCACAAACTAGTAAATTAATGTTTTATGTATCATGCCCAATAGAGAACACCAGTAAAAAAAGCCAAAAGCCTGTTAAATGTACTGTGGTAACTGTGCTCAATATCAGTCCTTGTTTACTTGTTCTGTTCACTAGTAACTGAATCATCAAGTGGCAGACAAAATGCAAACAGTGAAGCGGCTTGTGCATATTTTATGATGCTCTACATCAAAACCCATTTTGAAGTGCTTTGTTAAGAAGATACACAATTTATCCATTGGTGTTAAAATGTCTTATCCAAGTAGGACTTTAGTTGTCTCAGCCTCACTAACATCAATAAGCATTTTACCCCCAGCTGCATCTGAAGAAAGTGAGAAAAATGACTTCTACTGATTCATGCTGGGATAATTGAGAATATGGCACAAATTACAACAGCTTCTTGGCAGTTTCCAAACAAGGCTTATTGCAAAGGGAATTATCAGTACTGAATTATCAGGACTGAAACTACTCTATGAGCTACTTACGGAATCATTATTTCTTCTTGTTTCCCACACTTAGCACAAATTTCTAGTTTACTAGCACATGGTCGACAAATAATATGATAAGGATCTTTTACAGTCTTCTGGAGGCATTTCACACTGTGAAGAGAAAGAAAATATGATTAAAAATATTGTGGACACTTACTAAACATTCTGTATTCAAATACAATATACAAAAGAGGAACAAACACTCATAAAAGAGGAATAACACATTTTAGGCTGATTTCAAATTAAACACTCAATGTTTTATAAAGTAGCATTATCAAAATCACCCCCTTCCCTTACCTTCCTCAGGAAGAATTACTAAAACAAGTACTAAAAAAGAAATATTAAATAAAGAATTTTAAATTTAAGTTGACAGAATAAACATTTCCGTTCATTTAAGTAGGTAGTTTTTACTTTAAAATTGCATAACTTCCTGTTTAATGATAAAAGCAGCATATGGCATAAAAAAGTACATGGACTTTACAAATAAAAAGCTTTCAGTTGAAACACTGAAATTACTTCCTCTTGAACTTCTCAGAGTATAAACTGAGTCAGTACTAGACTTTGTCTTCTATGAACACAAGCCTGCAAGGAACAGTATTCTCAACAAACCCAACCTAATAAGGTAAAGGGCTTGGGCTATTCTTTTTCAAAATATTATAATATTCTGTGGATTTTGTAATTTCCAAAATTCTGTGTCTTAACATTCAGCTGACATTTCAAAAGCTCTGTATATCTGGAGAACAAAACCAGAACAATACACCCCATGTAATGCTGATCTCTTGACAGTAATTTTTAATGCCCTCAAAAGTTCTTCCCAGACATGTCATACTAAACAGAGGCACTACCAATGCAAGGCAGATTTATATATATTTATTTAAATTAGTTTCACTTGTAATAATTAAATACTCAGTAGTAAAGTAGGGAAACTTGTGGTTGTACTAACACTCATAATTTTAAAGATGCTACAAAACTAAAAATAAGTTGAGGTACAGAGAAGTCCTCCATCCCCATCTTTTGCAATATAAAGAACTCCTTTTTTTTTTAATTGTCATATTTTTTTACGTCTATTACATTTTTACTTCACCCAGAAGGTTAATCTGTTGAAAATTTTCATAGTCTTGTCATTTCAGAACAATGGCTCACCCAGCCATTGTACAGCTGGCATAGAAATCATCACCTGTAAACCAGAATGCTCTGCGGCACAACTTCCGCATTCAAAAATATGAGGGAGAACATCATGTATTCTGTTATAAGCTGCTGTTCTAAAATGTCATTTTTTCTACATCCAACGCTTCCCTGATTTACATGGGGGTTTTGCCTGCTTTCTTCTCTTTGGGAAAAAAAAAACAAAAAAAAACCAGGATGCACAAATAACATAGTTATTTGCAAAAAGGAAAAACACCAACTTCATCTGTGGTGCACAGAACACAGAATTCTTATCTGTTATTCAGCAAGCCTTCTACCTAATCATTCATTCTTTACATGAAAGGGTGAAACTGGTTACTAATACCGAAGTAACTACTACCGAAGTACCAAAGCTACTGTGACAAACCTGGCTGCATTGTGCACCACAGCCCAGCTGTGGTTTCTCTTGAGTTCAATGTTTCATTGCTGAAACACTGGCTGTGTCTGCTACCACAGGAGGTAAGGACCTCTGCAACTGAGCAAATAAGAAGCAAGCAGAGAGCATCTCCTTCAGAAAACTAAAATAATTTATATGTTTGTGATAGGTTAAAGTATTTATCATCTTTGTCATACAGTTATCCAAAAACAAGCAATACAGAACTCTATGCAAACAATGCCAACATTTACTACTTAGGATTATAGTTTCTTACAGAAAAGGACAAAATATGCTAAAAGGTAATGAAATGCAGGTATTGCAAACATTAGCAAAGTACAGAAGTCAAGAGATGTGCAGATGCCTCTAAAGAATGGTTCACAGATGTGAAACAAGACCTTAGAAAATTGTCTTACAACAGGTTCAGGCAGGACTTTTTGTTCAGGATGACACTGACAGTCTTGGAAACCTACAGGTCCACAGTTCAACCAGTTTTAACAGCAAAGAGGGAAACACTTGCTCTTCCTCTGTGTCTTCTTTTCAGAAGTTTATGACAAAAGACTTATGAATTAGAAAATTAACGTTGCCTATATGTTGTCATTGCAGACCCCACATTTAAAAAACGTTGCATAAGCAGCTTCTTCTGAGTTTCCAAAGCCATAATATTTTTGAAACACTCACAAACTACATGATCAACAAAAAATATCTTTACTCACCATTTTTTAGGTTTTGTCAGTAGCTTGTATTTTCTGAATTTTACTCGCCACTCCAAGATACCTTTGCAATGCTGACACACTCCATCATGAAGCTTAGCATTTATTTTCTGAATAAGTAAAAAAAAAATACATTGATGACTCCCTGCCATAAAGAGTAAAATCTTGCTTAGAAAGCATTTTTACCCATCTTATAATTGATACAGTACTATAAACATATTTGCTTGGTATTACCATTAAGCCTTTCATATACATTTGTCTAGAGATTTTCTTCAATGGAAAGGGTACCTTGAAGTTAAAGAATATGATGATGACGAAGACGATGATGATAATTATTATCTTAATAGTGGTACTTCTTTCTGTTATTATATTGCTGAAAAATGATTGTAGGTATTTAATTATTTTCATCTCTAGACATTTAAAAAAATGTATTAAAGAAGAAATAAGCACTGAAATACACAGCTTTTATCAACTTAGAAGATTTAGCATTTAACTTACTATTGCTCAAGCTATCACTATACTACATAGTTTAAATAGTCTCAGGATTTTTCCTCAGATAACAACAAAGTAGAATCCACACAGTACTTGCAGTCAAATTATTCAATCTCTCTCTAATCCTAGCCTTCCTTTATGAAAAACATTTTTGCTCTCTGCATCTAAGATAATTTTTTAAGTGGTAATTTAAACCATTAATATATTTTTGAGACAATGAAAAATTTACCTTAATATCTCCTACAACATTTTGTCTTTATCTTTCTCAGAAATACAAAACGTCAACTGGCTAGTAGTATTTGCACAAGAGAAGTTTTTCTGAGATGGGAAATGGTACCAAACGATACTCTTACCTTAAATAACAAGCTATGTCCTTGTAGGCTCAATTTAATTTTATTTCTTCTCTATTTAAGAATGTCAGCACTAATGTTGTCTATCATATGGTTGTTCATATTAATTCAGAAATTTAAAACTAGAAATTTCATGGTTAAAAACCACATATAATGAAAAAGGTATTTTAAGATAGTTTAAAAATTGCTACCATATCAACATTGCATTATTAAAATGGTTTAAACCACATCTACTTCTTAGTATACATAAAAGGAGTGATTCTGCAATAATCTGGATTACAACTGATGTTATTATTTCACAAATAAACTGAAAAAGAATTATTCTATGAATACAGCGTCTTCTGAAGTAACTTCCTGCTTTTATGACTCACAAGAGTTTCTTACTACTCCACAAAGCTCTATTTCAGTACATAAGACCAAAAAAACAAGATAAGCTTTAAAAACACAGTATCTTATTCTATTCAAAAAAATTTATATGGCAGAGGAGACACTGCTTTCAAGTGAAACTATACTCTGGGACTTGTGTTCCATTGTCTCCTTTTTCATTAAACTTGCACATTCAATATGAGTTTTCCTATTATGTGGTTAACTGAACGTGTGGTGCTTTCTGGCTGCTTCACTTAAAAGAAAATTATTTTCTAAATGATCAAATACAGACTTGGCATCTTAAGAAGCCAACCAAACAAGGTTTTGCGTACTGTTTGAATATTGAATACAGAAAGCTGTGGTTCTGATGCATTACGGATATATTTTCCAAAAAATACCAACAATTGCTTAACGTGCAAAACTTCTGAGAGAAGAAAAATCATCAAAACCATCAGTAGATATCTGTTAAAGGCAATTTAATATCTCACAATTCAGTATCTTGCAATTCAAATTGCTGTGAGCAGTGCCTGTGTTCAGTCTTTCAAAATTCATGCAGCTCAAAGACAAGCCGTGTTTTCAGCACTTGACCAGCATGAAGTAAGACTCCAAGCACTACAGCCCACAAGCTCCCCACAATCTGCAAATTAGCCTGAACTTCCCAGCTCCCCCCACTCCCCTGACTTGCATTGATTGGTAATGCAGGAGGGCAGTAAAATACACAGTAATTTGTTTTTCCAGGTAGGGATACATTTATTGTTACCAGCTATTTTTAGTTTTGCTAAGGCAGAATCCAGTGAAATTCAAAAGACTGCAGAAGCTTAAACTGAAAGGAGATGGTTGTCCTTTCAAAAAAGCAGTTAGCTTCCTGGATGAAAACAATGTATTTTCCCTTAACACAGCTGGGGCTGGGGTTGGGAGCCGTGCCACGGAGTGATCCAGGGGCAGGCTCAGCAAAGCCTAAAGCTCCTGGAATGCAAGAGCCTGTGCTCAGGACTGCATGGCCTGAATGACACAGAAACTACTTCAGAAACCTCTCATCTGAAGCAAATCCAAAGTTCATCAAACAGGCAGCCTGTTACAAATTCTACTTAATATTTGCCATGGAACAAGGAAATATGCATAGGTATTGTCATGAAGCTTTATAAAGCTCTTCCTCACCCCCTGCTCTCATCATCTGGCTCCAGAATACACAACAATCACACAGTGATGCTTTTCCTTTTAACTTCTTTTTCCAACCAAACTGAAACACTGGCCATTCCAAAAGCTGAAGATGCCAAAGATGAAGGGACAGTACAGCAGGGCATAGGCAATCCAAGAGGTTCCTAGCATACACTGATGACAGCTGCCTTCTCCAAGCGATAGAAGAGCCAACAAGCAGAGGTGTTTTGTTGGACCTCCTTCTCTCCAACAAGGAGGAGCTGGTGAATGTGAAGCTCAAGGGCAGCCTGGGCTGCAGTGACCATGAAGCGGTGGATTTTAAGGACCTTGGGGCAGTGAGGAGCATGGGAAGAAGAACACTACACTGGACTACAAGACAGCAGACTTTGGCATCTTCAATGGTCTCCTTAGTAGAGGCCATGGGATAGAACCGTGGAGGGAAGAGCGGCCCAAAAGAGCTGGAGGATATTGAAGAGTTGTCTCATTCAGGTTCAATAGCAATGCATCCCCACAAAGAGGAAATCAAGAAAGAAAACTGAGATGCCTGCATGGGTGGACAAAAAGCTCCTGGAGAAATGTAAACAGCTAGGTTACAGAGAGTGTAAGCAGGGAAAAGTAGTCTGGGAGGAATATACAGAAATTGGCCAAAGAGCCAAGGAAATGGTTAGGAAAGCTAAAGTACAGGCAGAAATAAACCTGGCAAAGGAAGTCAAGGGTAAGAAAAAAAGGGTTCTTTAGGTATGTCAGCGATCAAAGATAGATTTGGGAAAATGTCGGTCCTCTCAGGAGGGATACAGGATGCAGAAAACCTGGTGACCATGTCCTCATGACATTTATACAGTGGAACTCAGCAAGTTCGCCAATGACACCAACCTGTATGATGTGATCAACATACTGGAGGGAAGGGATGCCATGCAGAGGGACCTAGGCAGGTCTGAAAGGTGAACCTGTACAAATCTCATGATGTTCAACAAGGCCAGGTGCAAGGTCCTGCACTTGGATTGTGGCAATCCCAAGCACAAATGCAAGGTGGGTGGAGAATGGACAGAGAGTACTCTGAGGAAAAGGACTTTGAGGGTGTTGATGGATGAGAAGCTCAATATCAGTTGGCACCTTGCAGCCCGTAACTCTGGCCAGCAGTGCAAGGGAGGGGATTCTGCCCCTTCACATTTGTGGTGTGAGACACCACATAAGCATTCAGATCTGGATGACCAGACAACACAAGAAAGACATGGACTTGTCAGAACAAGTCCAAAGGAGGGCCACTAAGTAGATGACAGGACTAGAGCACCTCTCCTATGAAGGGAGGCTGAGAGTTGGGGCTGTTCAGCCTGAAGAAGGCTCTGGGAAGACCTTAGAGCACCTCCCAGTACCAGAAGGGGACTATGAGATAGCTGGAGAGGGACTTTTACAAAAGGATGTAGTCACAGACCAAGGGGGAATGGCTTCAAACTGAAAGATTGTAGGTTTTGACCAGATCTTAGGAAAAAATTCTTTACTGTGTGAGTGGTGAGGCACTGGAACAGCTTCCTCACTGAAGCCGTGGATGCCTCACCCCTGGCAGTGTTCCAAGGCCAGGCTGGATGGGGCTCTGAGCAACCTGGTCCAGAGGAAGGTGTCTCTGCTCATGACAGGGGGTTTGGAACTACATGATCTTTAAGGTCCCTTTCAACCCAAACCATTATATGATTCTATCATCATATTTATGTGCATCATAAATCACTTTAAATATCGTGATCCAGGCATAAAGATGCCTGGACTTTTCAACAGGGTAAGACCATAAATCTTACACAGCTACTCATAAAGGAATCATATTGCATCTGCTCAGAAGGTCACAAACTGGAAGAAAGACAACAGCTTTAAGTTCTAACTTCCTCTTTCTAAGGGGCACACATAGAGCATCTTCCTCCTCTTCAGCAATTTCCTGTATTTTTTACTCAATTTTGATGCCTCAAGTATGGGGCACTGCAATTAATCATTGGCTCAGAAGATCTGAGTAAAAGAGCCACTAAGACTTTACAACCCTACCAGGCAGTTGGTTTAGAAAGTCAGTAGTGAATGATGGATTTATGTAAAGAAAGCAGTTAGAGTTTAACTTGTGTATTGTCTTTTATATTTATTTTGCTCAGAAAAAAAAAAAAGGCATGATATTTAAATGCTACCATTACTGAAACAAATTGCTAATTTACTGAGGTTTTTTACACTTAATTCAGCATCTCCTCTGACCAAAATAACCCATAACACACCACTTTCAAAAGCAATGCAGACTTGAAGAAGTAAAGAAAGCTGCTCCTAATGAAAGATTTGAATAGTCTGATTTTTCAGATTTTTGAAAATGCTAAAAAAGCACATGACAGCAGTTCTCATAATAAACCTGAAGACAAATTTTCTTGTTTCTCAGTTCCTGGTCAGGATGGGGAAGTCACTAGTAAAATCAAATAAACTCCTCTGGTGCTTACTTTTCTTACTAATATTTACTTTTTAATATATTTTGTATATTGTTTAAACTTTCATTAACTCATATTTTCTTCTTTTTGCCCATTTAATAGCTTGCTTTTCCTTGAGGGTATTAAAAAACCCAACAGCCCACACCAAGCCCTGGAAAAGACTAGTGAACCTCACTATTCTTTTCCAACTTTTCTACCCAGCTTTTACGCAGGTAGTCAGGGCCTCGTACACAAATAGGTAGTAGTGCTTGAAATTAATTTCTTGGTGTAAATTAATTTCTTGGTGTGAAAACTACTCCAACATGTTAGATTATGCTTCTGTTGCAGCAGTTTCTCTGGGGTTTTCTTTATGCTCATTTCCCTGTTTTAGTCAATAGCTCTCTTTTCTCTTTAGCATACTTTGCTCCAAGGACAAGTGCAACTCATCCAGTGCTTGCAGTATGTCTATACATCCTCAGGGAAATTACAGTTATGCAATACAGACATACCTAAGCAGCCTAAAGGTATGATGCCACAAAATATTCCATGTGCACACTATAAGCACATTCAGTTGTACATTAACAAATCAACATCCTCTGCTAACATAGCCTAGTATTAAATCACCTAACAACCTGCCAAAAGCAGTTCAGAATGTATTAAACAAATGCACCTACACCTACTAACTTGGCACACAAAATAATCCCTAGCTAAAACGAGCATTAAAGCGCTCACAGGTAGGATATAATGACAAGACTTCAAAGAAGCTTCACCATCTGTTTGTAAGCTTCTAATTACGTGTGAACCTATGGGTATTTCGATTTCCTCTACTGAAAGCAAATTCCTTCTACTGAGCACATATCAGTTGTCTATTCTACTGTAACTGAGTGTAATGTTAATGCCACCCATAAACTTCCTTGTCAGAAACACAGGTGGCACCGTTTCAATCAGCTGAATGCAGCACAAGGGTGAATGTAGGATTTCTGAACAACTCAATTTCTCAAAAAAACAGAACTCCACAGGACCTCCAGCGCATGACGACTAAGCAGTTAAAGTAGGTCACTGCAGACTGACAAATGTGAAACTGAGCTACCAGATGCCAGATTTCAGGGTTCCAATACACATTACATAGGCTGAAATTGTCCCCCACAGAGCTTCACTTGCTCCCATATTGTATCAGCATTACTTGAAATTCCTTTTTCTTCAGATATTTTCTCATCAAGTGTATTTCAAAATTTAAGCAACATATGCCTACAGCATTTAAGAGAGCAAGGGAAGGACTCTCATCATCTCCTTCAGAAAGAATGGAAGATACACAAAGACACATAAACACAGACACAGCAAACACACCTCCTCTACCTACCCACACGTTCTTTCTCTCACTCTCTGCCCCACCTCCAGGGCTGGGTTAGAGTCCAGAGCAGACATTATATTTGTTCCTGCTCTCCCTACATGAAAGGCTACAACCCAAGACTGAATGTATTTCTGAACCCAGAGTAACAGGAGTGGCTAGAGAGTAGACTTCAGCCTACCAAGCTAGACTTCAGCCTACCAAGCTACTCTACGTTGCAGCAAGAACATTATCTAAAAAAACTGCAACATGTTTATCTAACAATTCCAGTTGGCCGCTGGTTTATCTCTATCTCATTTCTGTGCTTCAAAATACGATTACTGACTCAGCATTTAAGCTCTACATTCAGTTGTTCTCTTCCTAGTCCTTTTCCACAGTCTAAACCAGTGTTTCCACTAAAACAACACTACAACATGATTTATCCATGCACTTGGCTGAAAAAGTAACTGACATTAACACTGTGGTAAATCTGAGGTTCAGAGGTAATAACCCCTGAAATTTAGGGAAATACGAATTATCATCTTAATGAAAGAAAGGGAGAAACAAATCAGTCCTTTGAGTGTAAATACGAATCACTTTGTGGTTTACCATCTTACTACAATGGAATTCTAAATGTTCTCATTAAATATTTGCTTTCATTTCTAGACCTACTGCAGCTTTCATGATGACTTATGTAATATACTTTACATAAAATGCATATTCATATAACATAATGTATGTTCCTCAGCTCGGTGCTGCAAAGAGCTATTCTGGAATATACCAGGTAATGCAAACACCAATAAACAAATTCCAAGATTCAATAACTAACAAGACAGTGTCTTACCCTGTCCTGGCTATTCCTTCTTCAGGTCATCCTAAGACGCAAACTTTTCCAGCACTGTTGTAGCTGTTTCCCAAATACAGTAGAGAGGCAGTGTACTTTGTTGCAAGGATGTTTCACCTCAACAAGCCTCAAGAGCAATGCTGCAGTACTTCTGTAGTAAAGACTGATCATTAGAGGAAAGACAGATGGATCTTCTAGCATGCTCTCAAGTAATCACGTCTGTGGCCTTTAAGATTAGAAAATGAATGACACGGTCAGTGTCAGACAAAGAGCACAAAACATTTCAAAAAACAAAAAAACCAACTGGATAATGACTGCCAGCAGAGAAAAGTCAAAATCCTATTAGATCAATTTCCTCTGCAGACACTGCTTCACTGAGAGAAATAGCAATAACACATAATAAACTACCTCAACTCCACCCACTGTACAAGCTGAAGCTATTGTAGTAAATATTCAACATTGCTAAAGCAGTGTACAATTGCAGCAGGATCCAAATTTTAAGCTGATAGGCATTTTGCAGCCTTTCAAGGTAGCATTGCATCGGACAGTGTACAACAGTAGACAGGCCAAATACAAAACCCCCCATATGTTTAACAGTGATTTACAGGAGATCCATTCTCTTTGAGGAGCTTTTAGCATTCTCTTGATCTACTGAGCTAATGAGAGGTAGAAAGGAGTATGCCCCACTCCTTTATCAGTCCCTATCAAAGAATTCCTACCATTTCTTCCTTTTTCTCATCCTACCTTGAACATCCATGACATATCTGATCATCCAAGACTGCAAAAGACAGAGATGCAAAACTGCCCTCATTCAGCATAGTCCATATGTAAACTAGAACATTAATCGCCACTTAATCTTTGCTAGTCTAACTTCTTTAAAACAGCAAAATGGGGCTAGCATCATTATAATGACCCCTGTGTATCCCTGTCCTGGTTCTGGCCAAGCCAGGGTTAATTTTTCCAGGCTAGGACACTAAGGTTATTCTATACCACCTCACATCATTTTGCAGGAATGGGGGGAGGCATCCCTTCCAGGCCACATAGAGTGGTGTGGTCTGGAATTGCCAGGGGTCCCACACACCTGTGTGTGAATCATCTCTTCTGCACTATTGCTGTGACTGTTTTCTTACTTCATTTGCTGTTTTCCAGTAAATTGTCCTTATCTGAACCCGTGATCTTTGCCTTTTGTGTCTCAAATTCTTTTGGCCAGGGCTATGCAGTGAGGGAGGAGGGAGAAGGGTGAGTGAGTGAGTGGTGCATGGTTTAGTGTTTCAGTTGGAACACCAAACTGGGGAATATAATTCCTAAAACATGGCAGTACCTTGGGACTTCAATTTGTACATGGCAGGATACCCTAAGAAAAAGGAACGCATCCTTTCCCCTTACCAAACATTATCTAACCCTGGAATAGGAGGCACATTCTTCAGGATGCTACTTCCACACACTCAGTCCTCTCCATGAACCAACAAGCATAGAGAGAAAATAAATAATTGGCTTGAAATAGAAAGAAAAAGAAGACAAGTTGATGTCCACAGAAAACCTTGGCCACATTAAAAAAAAAAAATCTTGAGTGCATGATATTGTGTAGCCAGTTCTACAGAATATAAATTATTTTCAAAGGGAAGAAAAACAGAAAAACAGTCATGCGGGTATTAAAAATATTATTTCATTTACAAAACAGATACCAGAATTCAGGGGTTTTTTTGAAAACTTTTTTGATAGATCAGCTCTCTATGACTTTTTTGTGTGTGTATGTTTGTACCCAGTCAGAAAACACTCTCCTATCAGAGGTCATGCAGTGACTCATACAACAAATAATATTGTCACTGCTCAGAATACCAGGAAAGCAGCCTGTTCAACTTGCAGAACCAGTCCTAAAAAAACCATCTCAAAAACCAACCAAAACAAACTCACAAAAAAACCCAAACATCCCTCTTTGGCGTCAAGGCTTTAACTCACTACTTTGTTCCCCTCCTCCCAGCCCTTTTGGACAACCCAGGCAGGTTCATTTGAAGGGATATTATATAACAGCAATAGCCCCAGATCAACTCTCCTAGATTATTCATCCTCTGTTTTGTCTTAGTCACCTTCTAGGTTTAGCCTGCAGGATGAAACATTCCACCTTGGTGGTGTTACTGCTCAGACACACCCATGTTCTTCAGCCCCTTCCGCATATTATGTTACCAAAACTAAAAGCACAGAGCATATTTCAAGAATATATTGTAGACCATTTCCCCCTCCCTGCTTAGAACCAAAAAAGACAAAACAGGCTTCTGGAACAACAGAGTGAAGATAACTTTTGTAGCTGAACACACCTTTCTATCTAACTAATCAGAAGAGCCCGCTTTTTTTAAAAAAAGAAATTAAATTACGCATGAAAGTGATCTCAAAAGTGTGCTGATTGAAGCTGGGTATTTATATGTGATGGGAGAAAGTTGTTCAAATGAAGCTCTCCAAACACCAAGATTTCTCAGTTATGACCACATAGTCACAAACCTTGAGAAGACTAAAGAAAAGAAGTCATACCGATAGCCACCTTTCAAGAAGTCATATGGATAACGCACCATTGAACATTCAATTGATGCACTCACTGCACAAATGTAAGCACTTTATTTCAGTCTTCCTCTTATAACTCTTCGGCTTAACTAGGTCCTTTCATGTCACAAGCATGACTCAAGTTTCACACTACACACTTGCTTACAGTGATAACTGTCTGAAATGTCTTGTTACGATTCTCTCTTAGCAGCACTGTGCCTGGTGTGGGCGGACCCGGGCCAGAGGTATCTCCATCCCTAAAACGGTCCCTCGGCATCCACTGCCGCGTGACTTCGTTTGCGACCCCGAAGCCCGTCAGGACCTGGCACCAAACCTCACAGGGACAGGGCATGGCTTCAGAGGCCGTAGGAGGACCTGCCCACGCTTTCGGCAAGAAACCCTTCCCACCGCTCCGGCCCCAAGCGCTGCATCGCCCGCAGAGCGGTGGCTTCTGACGCCGGGACAACCCCGCGCGCCCCGGGCCGGGCCGGCCCCCGCCTACCTTGCGCCGGGCGCTGGTGTCGTACTTGTCGTTCTCGAAGGCGCGCGCGTTCTGGTGGCGCTGGGGCCGCGTGCGCGACACGTTCCCCCGCTCCGAGCTCATCCCGGGCCGGCGCCGCGTGCCCCGGAACCGCTCCGCGGGCCCGCCCGCGCTGGGCGGCGCCGCAGCGGCTGAGCCCCCATTGGCGCTCCGGCCCGCTCGGCCCCGCCCCGGCCGCCCCCGCGCCGGTGCAGTCTGCGGGGGAGGCGAGGCCGGGCCTGCGCCGCTCCGGAGGCTGCGCGGGGCGGGCTCAGCGCTGCCAGGGCCGCGCGTTCTCAGGTCGGGACCGGGCGCTGACGGCCGCCTCCCGCCGCGCCGTTACTCAGCACAGCTGGCGCCCCCACATCCCGCCGACCCGGCAGTCGGGAGAGCGCGGGGCCGCCGAGCGGAGCGCCAGGTGCAGGTAGGGGCCGTCCTCCCCCGGCGTCGCGGGGATGGACGGTGTGCGGGTGACCCGCTGCCGCGGCGTGTGGGCAACTTGTTTCGTCCTCGTGGGTCCGTCCGTGTCTCTTGCCCCGCTCGGAGCCGCGGCCCGTCCGCGCGCCTGGCGCAGGCGTGTGGCGGCCCCTGGGGCGAGAGGAAAGGCCCGCGGCAGCCACCGGCGTTTCCTCAGAGGGGCGGGCGGCGCGGCTTCGGTCTGCGGCACGAGCCGGGCGGGGAGCTGCCGGCCCCGCCAGCCTCCTGCCCGCGTCCCTGTGTCGCTGGGCTCGAGGGTCTCTGGGGGTGTCGCCTGCCCCGGGGTGCCCGGGTGATGTGGGCGATCTGTCCGGTGCTCCCGTCTCCGTGGTCTTGCCCTGGACTCCTTTGTTGGAAACGGGCGCACTGACTTGTGACACGCGTGTTAAAGTCTGGCTTTTCGCGGCTCCAAACAGTGCCTTTGAGTCGCTGCTGAGGACTTCGGCGGAACCCTTTTCCGACGCGGACCCCAGAGGAGTTAATTTAGTTCCCGCCAGCTTGGTTAAATTTATTCCTTCAGCTTCTGCTATTGAGGGTGGGAGTGGCGCTGGCCTCAACATTACTCTCAGGTATTATATAAAAATTTAAAGTACTTGGTCAGTAATTAACTGGGAAAGTTCATGGCTGCGGAAATCAGAGTGGAAGCCCCTGAGCGCCCAGCGGTGTTGAGGGCGGAGCTCCGCGCTCGTGGCCGGCCGCCTGCGCTGGGTCGGCGGGCTGGGGCCGCGGGGCTTCAGCAGGGCAGCGCCGCGGACAGGGTCTTGCTTGGAGCATGCGAGGCATTGTGTAATCGGCTTAATCCCGCATTTGTCTGTCTGGAAGCTTTAGAGGTTTCGTTTGTTCTTCGGTTGATAAAGAATGTGTGGATTTTTCATGTAAATTTTCCTGTTAATGTTTCCTTTCTTTTTTCAATTATGCCGTTAGGTTTTGATAAGTACACAGTGACCAGCAGAGGATAAATAATGTCCCTATATATGAGTTAAAATAGCTGGAATTTGTGAGACTAGAAGGAGTGTTTATTTGTTTAGAATCAAATTAACCAAAGTAAAAGTTTTGGTTTGATCAGGCTTCTGTGTTTTCAAGTAGCCTATTTCGTCCTTTGAAAACTATCTTAAATACTTACTTCACAGTATTTCTTAATACAGCTTTTTCATAATTGAATGTACTTCCTTTGTGTTGTTTTCTGGACTTACTGTATATTCTTTCTTAATATTCTCTTAATCCTTTTATACAGTACTTAATCAGACACTAATGATTTCTTTTTCTCTGAACATTTTGTTTCTTTAACTGTTGGGCTAGTAAAAGGATGTTCATATCATTCTGTTCCATTTTTAATATTACACGGGTGGCGAAATAAATATCAGCACTTCAGTAGTGGCTTGAACTCAAGTTCTCATTGTATTGTGCTCAATGAAAGTGAGAGGAAAAATGCTATAGAATTTCTTGTTTCAGCAGTAGATAATGAAAAGTAAAGATGAAAAAAACCTCTAATCAAACAACAAACCCACAACCAAAATACACACAAATAGCAACCAAAAAAAAAAAAAAAAAACAAACCCAACAATTTTAATATCTCGCCCATTATGATTTGAACAACAATTAAACCAGCATCTATATTTATGAGTTTGACTTTGTTCTTGTGAATAGTTCCCATGAAATAGACAATTTAATTTGAATAAACAATTAGAATAATTTATATTTAATGTAAATATAAGATTTCTAGATAAGTATTTGCAAGGTTGGGCTGGTTTTGAGAGTAATACATACTGAAGTATTCAAAGATGTGAATAATAGGTTCCGCTGTCTTGTTATTATGTACAGAGGTAGGAGGACCAGAATACTTACATGAAAAAATTACATTTGTGTTATCCTAGGAAGCACAAGATAAATACTTGAGGTGTTCTTTAAGATTAAATAGACATTGTCCCCCTTCTGTCAGCCTTTATGAAAAGGCTAATTGCCACAGAATGAATTTAAATCACTGCCTTTGGGCAGTTTTACATTTGTAATTTTATATGTTAGGGCTTTATTCATAAGAGAGTTAAAGAGATAAAATTGATAAAATGCTCTTGCTTTCCTTTTAAAAGCTATCCCAGAAGGGGTAAGTAGTATAATTTGGATCTGTTTTATTTCTTAGCCTCTGTTGCTGCAATAGAAGAGTTTTCTCTAGTTTCTTCCACAGAATTTTCAAACTTAATTACTTTGAAAAATGCAGTGTAATTTTAAAGGGGATGTATATTTCTTTATTGTATTCTTTTTGTTGTTAGTGCATTTTACCAGCTGTAGGAATTGTGTTTGCAGAACAGCACCAGCATTTTTATTACTACTGAAATGTCAAGTAGAAGGTGAGATGGTTGTGTTGTTGGGATGTGTTGATCTCAGAATCTGATGATGCTGTAATGAGCACAGAGATTTACATCATACATACTCAGGTGTTAGACTGTACCTTAGGTATTCACAACATATCTTAGTCAAATGAATCCCATTAAAGTTACTCATGCGTACTTGTGGAACCATATGCTTAAAGTAATCTAGTCAGAGTTGGTTTTGCCTCAGCTTCACTAAGAATCCAGATAGACACACATCCAGTTTATTCACACTCTCATGTGAATACAATCCATCACAGTGAAAGACAAACCAGTTCCAGTATAATAGAAACATTGTTTGCGTTTAGTTGGAGCTATTCTGCAGTAAAAGTTCAATAGGTGTTTTGTATCGAATTGGTTCAGTTAGTGACCTGCTGGTTGTCTTGGATCTTCTGAGTGAAGAAAGTAACGTGTTTGTTTTAAAGAAAAGAGTTGTTATTAGCCATTATTTAGTTGGAGAATGACTCTAGAATCAGATTTTTTTTTTTCAGTAGGCATATTTTCCATTGGATTAAAAGATCAATACATAAAGCCTGCATTAGTCTAGCGCAAGGGAGGAATAATACTTCATCTGCTGTCTTCAGCATGTCATTTGCCATATCTAGTGACAGCCCATTTTTAGCACATTTTAGCTATCTTGGGGGACAGTGCCACCACATCAGCTAATTCACTGTGGTTTACTGCAGTACTGCCTTGTATGTGAATCCTGCAAGCCAGTTTCCCAGTCTTCTGAAATTACTTGGGTAAATAGCAAATATTTTCTGAGTGAAATCATTTTTGTAGTGTTGCTGGGCTGTCTATACTTACAAGTAATGTAAACTCCTGTTCCAATTCTTTCTGACAAGTGGATTTGGAAGAAATAAGAAATTCTGTAGTTCTCATTGTATGTTCATATAGAGTGCAATGTGCTGTTCCTGGGCAAAACAAACTATTTATATCTCACTTTTGGAGGTACAAATTCTTTTAAATTTTTCACAAAAAATAATAATCACCCCCTTAGAATAACGTATAGTATCTAACTTCACCTTCAGCATTTCTGTAAAGATGGGAAAACTCACTCGGAACAGATCCATTTAATAGTTTCTGATAGAAATAGAAGTGATTTTGAGTAGTATGTCATAAGTACTTGGGGAAAAAAGCATGTTGAGACTGGACTGTGAAAATGAACTCATTAAGTAGAGGTGAAGGAAGTTGCTTCTTTGATGCTCATAATTACAAGAGAAGTGAAGAAGGAACAAATACACACCACCACCCCCCAAAACAATAGGAGTTTTACTTTGCATAAGACAATCTCAACCTTTTGCTAATAGTTAGACTTCCTCCATAGACTCCTTCCACTTATCCTGACTTGTGGGTATAACTGAAGCTTAATGTTCACATAAACTCATCTGACCGGGATGAGTTATTCCAAATTTGAGTGACTAATTGTGCTGAAACAATATTATTGTTACTTCAGCTGGCAGGAATATGGTCTTTTATCCAGGATCTTCTTTAAGAGCCTCTCTACCTTCTTATGGGAGCTGAGTACTTCCATATTCTCTAAATTGGAAGTGTTGATCTCCCATATTTAAGCTTCTGTGGTTATCCTCTATTTTGAAGAAAACTAGAGACCTGGGTGAAAAACCTTAGCTGTGGCAGCCTCTTTTTTTGTGGTATTCCATAAATGCTCGTGTGTTTGGCAGACTGTCTCACTGTGCCTGTTTTTGCTGCTCTAAAAGTATGCTCCATGTAACATTGTTTGCAGTATGCTTTCATACTGTACCACCAGGAAGAGACCATTCACACATCCAAAAATACAGAGAGTTGTTCTGTGATACATGTTAAAGTGTTTTTGCAGCACTGTCCTTGAAGCTTCTTTAAAAAGAAATTTACACATAAAAACTATGCTTCTGTACAAATTTAAGGGCAAAATTTGAAATATCTAAATATTGTTAGGTGTCATAGTTAGCAGTAAGATTTTAATGTTGGATGACCCAAATACTTCTGGAACAGCATGGTACTGTAGACAAATGAAATCTGCTTGTTTTGTAGCTTGAGTCAAAGTCAGTAAGTGAAGCTGTAAATGTTTATGTTCACAGGGAGCCATCAGGAGGTGAACTTGAGACCTGTAGATAGATTTGGTATGAAAACGTTGTTTAAGTTAGGATGAAATGTCAGATGACATAACACAAGGAAAGTAGAGTAAATGCTTATCTTTGGTGTGCTGGTTTCCAGCATGGTACTTGTTAAATTTCACTGCTCTTCTTATCTCCGAGAAAAAATATTGCTGCAACAATGGATTTTCCCCCACTCCCTTCTCACTGCTCTCAATTAAGAGAACACAATGGCTATTTTTAAGGCAACTGTGTCTTTACCTATCTTGCTTTAGGTGTAGGTGTGTTTATTTTTTTTCTCCCGCCCCCCACCACTGTTAAAACCAATGCTTTGAATTGGTGCTATAGATTATATTGTTTTAACAAACATCTGTGATTTAGTTTGAGGTGTATCTCTTAAAGCATGAAAAAAACCCTAATTGTGTCATTTATACAATCCCAGTTCCTATGGGCAATACAGCTAAGAGCTGTATTGTTCTTACAGCTAAGAACTTCTTTGAAGGTTTTCAAAACACTTAAGTTGGCAGGTATGAGGAGTGAAGATAAGTTTATGGCTACATTTTCATGTACCAAAGCTCTAGAATGTTTGCTAATCCAGAAGCATCATCTTGTTTTGTCTTCTTAAGTTTTGACCTTTGCACACCCTTCATACTTCTGATAGTGCCTGCAGGAGCCCATACCTCGTGATTGCAATATACATTCTTGGTATTTAGGAGATGCTGTAATGATTTTTAGCTGCAGAAATCTGCATAACCTTAGTATGCTGCAACTCTACAACATATTTTAATTGCTCTTTATCACATATGTGTTTGTCAATGGGAAGAAAACTTTTCTTAATGCCTTGAGATCAGGAATTACATTTCCTCCAAAGAAACTCCAAAACTCATGCTTGTTCTTTCCCTGGGTAATCATGTTTTACTTTTGATATCTGGCAGGTCTTTAGAGTTATCTTTAATAATATACTCAGTGTGAAGTAACTAATAATACAAAATTAAATATTACATGGAAATATATGTATATACATCTTTGTTTTGTTAAATGTTCAGAAGTTATGCGTTATTTTCTAGAGATGTTGTGTCCACTTTTTTTTTTGTAAGTTGGGTTTTTTTAATGTCAGATTGTACCTGGAAACTGATACTATTCTCTCTTCCCATTTCAGACTAGAAGATGAATAATCTTTCCTTTAGTGAACTGTGTTGCCTGTTCTGTTGTCCACCATGCCCAGGGAAAATTGCCTCTAAGCTGGCATTCTTACCTCCTGATCCCACATACACACTGATGTGTGATGAGAGTGGCAGTCGCTGGACTTTGCATCTCTCAGAGCGAGCAGACTGGCAATATTCTTCTAGAGAAAAAGATGCCATTGAGTGCTTCATGACTAGAACATGTAAAGGCAACAGGATTGCGTGTATGTTCGTGCGTTGCTCACCTAACGCCAAGTACACTTTGCTTTTCTCACATGGAAATGCTGTTGACCTGGGTCAGATGAGCAGCTTTTATATAGGACTGGGTTCACGGATTAATTGCAACATATTCTCCTATGATTATTCTGGATATGGTGCAAGTTCTGGGAAGCCTACAGAGAAGAATTTGTATGCTGACATTGATGCTGCTTGGGTGGCTCTTAGAACAAGGTAAGACATTAGTTGCTTTTTTCTTTCACAGCATTCTTGTCAAATGGTTTTATTTCACATGCATCGGTAGTTGAAACAGAAATGCTGTGATTTATAATTAGTGGATTCATATCCAGGCTGACTGGGGATGCCTGGTGCTGAAGGCATTGTCAGTATTAAGCAGGATCAGTGTATATTATTTATGGACTGGAAAATGGAAATGGAAATGGAATTAAATTTAATAACAATTAGAGGATCTTCCTTATTGTCATAGTTTGGGATCTTCTTAGCTGCAAAAACTAAAAAGTTGGGATGAATCTATAATAATTGATACCCCAGTAATTAACCCACTGTTGTGATGTAAATGTGAGAAGATGCAGGTTGTTTCTTCAGATAATTTCCATCACCTACTTTTTTTGTACAAAGGGGCAGAGTAAAAGCTGGTACAAGAGAAGTTATTTCTGTATGGTGTTGAGATCACCTTTGTTTCAGAATTCTGACTGGCAGCTACAGCATTTCGAAAGAGAGAAAACATCTTTTTGCTTTATATAGACAATTATCGTCACAAAATATAATGTGTGGGAGAGTTTGTAATAGATCTGTGTAAATACCTTATGGTGGGAACAAAAAAAAGAGGAATTTGGAGCAGTGTTGTTAACCCAAGCAGAATAAAATGGACAAGAAAAAATGCTAATGAAAAGATGTTATTTCAGCAATTTCTGTGTTCTAAGCCTCTGGTTTTGTGGGACATAAAATAGCAAGATGAAAGACTGAATGCATTCATTAATATAGGTGAGAATCCTAGAGAATCCTGCACCAAATAAGTGCAGCTTTTCTGAGAACAATTTTTACCATAATTTTTTCCATTTAGCTCAATAGTCTTCTCATGTTACAAATACCCAGACTGTGAAAACGATTTTAAAAATAGTATTCAATCATAAGAATAACTGCTCATCAAAAAATCCCAGAACACTGTGTATTTTACACCCAAAAGGTATAAAAATCTGAAGTGTGTTGTTATGGCTCAGTCATTTCAACTTGAGCATCCTGTTTAATAATTATAGTATCAGGAACATGACTTGGTGTAAGGGCATGTGGGCTTTAAATCCTGGATCCTGGTAATTGTCACAGTGAGTTTAGAACTTCATCAATGTAGTAATATTGGGCAGATTACCCCTCTTCAGTGCTTTAAATACACATTTAGTCTTGCACTCCTTTTACATTACAGCAACAATATGATATTTCTTTTCAAAGAAGCGTATGTTATCCATGTATTAAATAGGGGAAAAGCTTATTATCATAACCCTCATTCAACCACAGGGGACAGGTTTTCAGCTTCAGCTATTCAAAAAACATGCATGTTAGGTTGTTAGATTAGCTTTTGTTTTTCCAAAACAGTGGAAAGTTGAGATATGGCTGTTCCGTAAACCACAAGAGCTGCAATATGTGCACTGCTGACTATGGTTTGTAGCTGGTAGGTGATCTGGACATAAGCTACTCAGTGAAATTCCCAGTAATATTTACCAAAAACGTGATGTGGTTTGTGAACAATTTGGAAGACAGTCTGACAGTCTGAACTATTTAAATGTAACAGGAAATGGAAGAGAACTAGATGGTGAAACATAATACTTTATGTCAGTTTACAGTCTCTGTTTTATAAACTAATTTGTAATTATTGTTTCTTCTTCCTCATAATGAATGTCTGATGATAAAATCTGCAAGGAAATGTGATTGCAATTTGAATTCTCACTACTGTTCTTAAGCAATGAAGTGTACTTTCTCTAACCAAATAAGATTGTTCATAATTTATAGGACACAGGCTAATGGCTTTAAACTGAATGAGGGTAGATTGAGGTTAGGTATAAGAAATTTATTTTCTGTGAGGGTGCTAAAGCACTGGAGCAGGTTGCCCAGAGAAGTTGCCATGAGAAGAACTGGCTGCCCAGAGAAATTGTGGGCAGCTTCCCCATCCCAGGAAGTGTTCAAGGCCAGGTTGAATGGAACTTTCAGCAGATTGGTCTAGTGGAAAATATCCCTGCCCATGGCAGGGAAAGTGGAATTACGGGGCCTTTAAAGGTCCCTTACCCAAACTGTTCTGTGACTGTAATGTCCCATATAGGTGTGCTCATTCGTCAGCAGACATTGTTGGGGAGACCTCTAAATATATCTTATTAAGATATTCTTATGTTCAAGAATGACCTCACCTCAATCCCTTTTTTTGTCTGCTGTTTTTTAATTATTATTTCACCTCCTGTAGAAATTAGGTAGTTGTGTATAGTGTATAAAGTTTACATTGGTCTGTCCAACTTGTGAATGTTACACATGTGAACTGAATTTGGTCTACTGCTGAAAAATAAGTTGGTATTACCAGTTACACCTGTACAGAAAGCTGTACTTAGAACAGCTTTGCAATTGACTGACCTGGTCTTGTCCTTGTATCTGAATGCTGGATGTATCGGGGGAAGTTCAGCACTTAACTCTGGATATACTGGATCAGTTTGGTTATCCAGCTATGGTATTCTTTTGGGCCCTGAGACAGTGCTCAGCGGTGTTAAAGTACTCAATGTATATCTGGACAAGAACGGAGCCTTTGAGCATTTGCTGCAGCCTTGATTCACTTTCATAGCGTAGATTGTTCTGTCAGTTTCTCATTGGTACCATCTTTAACATTTATAACTAATTCTGCAAAAACAAAGTAATTCAATGGATTGTTTGCAGGATAAATGTGAGTATGGCTGTAACTCCTTGGAAATTCTTGTTGATGAGACGAGATAAGAATGGAACCCGAGAGTTTTAAACTCTGTCTCGCAGTTTGTGACGTGATGAAGAAAAGAATGGAGAAGTTACCTTCAGAGATTGATCACAGCCATAGCTCCCTGCACTCCCTGTTCTGAAAAATGAAATTACAGAACCCAGCACTAAAAGGTGTTTCTGGGGTAATTGAAGTGCTGTTGCAGACTTAATTCTATAGTCAACAAAACCACTTGTGGTAAAGACTTGCTAGTCTTTAGTTAAGATGCTAGTGATAAAACTTAAGATACGAATCTTAAGTTTTATGTCTTGGGAAGGCAATCCACTTACACACCTTTAAATCAGCACAGGTGTCCAGTGGGGACTGGACACGTGGGGTGAAATAGTCTGGAACTTGTACTGTGAGTGATGATGAGATTTTGCTGTGAATATCAGTATTCATGAAAATGAATACATAAAACTAGTTTGGCAGCCTATCAGAAGAGGTAAACAGCAGATGTAGATGCTGAGTTGTGTCCCTATTCTTTATCTCCTTTGAAGATGTTAATAGGAAGCAGTAACTACCTATGTGGATGACGGCCATGAAAGAAGGTGGTGTGATTCACTGTCTTCATCAACTTTGGAAAAGTTGTACATTGTTGCATATTCATGTGCATGGGACTATATAAAAGCTGCAAGTAAGGACATTCTTCTTCCAGCTGTCATAACTACCAAGTGTTGAAATGCCAGGAGTAATTTTGGGATACGCCTATTTTCTGCTGTTCTGGTCTCTGAAGGCCTTTGATGACACCCTAGCAAGGGTGGAAAGGTTTATCCAGCCTCAGGCAAATGCAGGGCAAGTGGCACTCATTCAGAAACCTCTGAAGATGTGCCAGAGTTGCCTCATGACCAGATTTACCTGTAAGAAGTGAAACAGCCCCTTCATTGTTGCTTATCACGGACTGCATAATAATTGAAAAATTGAAGGGTAAATCTCACCATTGGACAATGTGTCAAAGTGGACAGAATGTCCATAAATTAAACAGCCAGGTATAGGAATAATACTGAGTCTCTTCAGATGATGGCCAAAAGTGTTCATTTAACAAATCACAAACTACTTTTTTTTTTTTTTTTTCATTCAGAAATAGAAGGGATGAATTCAGCTAGAAGTTGAGGTACTAGAACTTTGTGCATTTGGAGGGAAATTGAGGTTTTCTTTAAATTGATAGGGAAAGGTAGCTCAATTATTATGGAAAAGAAATCTTGACAATAGAACAACTGTATGGGTAGAATTTTAAAGTTTATAAAAGGCCAAACTATGACAGCAGCTCAGAATGTGCAGTTTGTTGATACGATGTGGACAGTGGGTTTGCCTTTCATAAAACATAGTTCCTTTTTTTCTTCCATTGTAAAATACCGTATGCACGAGAAGGGGGATGTGCACATTGGTTGAGGAAGAGCTGTATGCTCCTGAATTTTATTCATGACCTAAAATGTTGAGAGTTACAGGTGTAGATAAGGTTCATGCCCTACATGTTCTGCAACTTGCAGCTGTAATTTCATGTGTTATGTCCATGATGACAAATGATTCTGAATGTGCATTGAAAATTCTCTCAGTAGATTCCCCCTTGTTTCATGTGCTCCAAGTGGTGTGTTTAGGCTGTGTTTAGAAATGTGTTTAGCCCAGGTTTCTAAATGTGTGTATTGCAATAGCTTTGCAAACTGTAGCTTCTCTAGAGCATTTAGTGTAAGCCTAAAGAGGTACTATGGAAAAAGTACTCTTCTAAGCTTGATCTTATCAATACTTTATTTCATTATTGTAAAGCTGTCAAGTCTTCTAGATTGAGAGCAGTAATTTAGAAGTAAATATAAATTACTTTGTCCTCCTTTATGTATGTCCAGATCAAAATGGCAGGTATTTTTTAATAACCTGACACTGTAGCTTGGTAATTTCTGCTGGATTTTGTGTCTTAAAGGTAACCGAAGTTAAAAACCAAAACCAAAGGAAAACTAAAGAAACAAAAAAACTCTACCTACCTTGTCACAGCCAGACATGCATTTTGTAGTTTGCTTATTGCACATCATGGTAGTGTGATAAGTATCCAGTGAAAATATAAAATAAGGTTAATATCCAGTGTAAGTGATGTACATCCAATTAAACTGTTTAAGGAATGGTCAGACAGCACTTTGAGCAACTTGATTCAATGAAATATTACCTCCCTATGGCAAGGGTTTGGACTATATTACATTCCAACGTAAACTGTTCTATGATTCCATGAAGAGAAGAAAAG